ACTTCTTCGCTGCAACTTCTGAACTAATTTCAACCAAATTTGGTATACAGCATTCATGGGTATTGGGGAACAAAAATTGTAAATTTCATGGTCCCTGCCTTCCTGGGGCCTTAGGGGTGGGGTCAAAACAACTAAAATTAATGCAATTTTTAAAAATCTTCTCCTTTACTCCTGGACATCAAGCATACTAGGTATTTAGTTATAATAAACAAGAGTACATCCTTCAAAATTGTGAATTTTATGGCCTCAGGGTCAGGGGTTCTGGTGTTAGGGCGGGGCTCTATTGATTTTATAGTGAAAATGCATTAATTCTTCAAATTTTCTTCTCTGCTCCTGGGTATTAAATCAATAACCTATTTACATAGTTATGATGAGGAAAATGTCTTTTCGAAATTTGTGAATTTCATGGCCCCTGGTTAGGGGTGTTTGTTTAAGGAGGGGACTCTTTTGATTATATAGTGAAAATGAATGAATTCTTTAAAAATTTTCTCTGCTCCTGGGTATTTAACAAACTAAGTAAGTATATAGTTATGATGAGCAAGAGTGTTTCTTCCAAAATTGTGGATTTTGTGGCCCCTTTGTTGGGAGTTGTGATGTAAGGACGAGGCTTTATTGATTATATAGTGAAAATACATGATTTCTTTGAAAATCTTCTTCTCTGCTCCTGGGTATCAAACCAATGAACTATGTACATGTACATAGTAATGATGAGGAAAGATGCCTCTTCCAGAACTGTGAATTTCATAGCCCCTGGTTCAGGGGTTCAGGTGTTAGGATAGGGTTCTAATGATAATACATAGTGAAAATCAATGAATTCTTTGAAAATCTTTTCAATTGCTCCTAGGTATTATGCGAATGATCTAAGAACATATATTTATGATGAAGAAAGGTGCATCTAGCAAAATGATTCCTTTCATGATCTCTGGGTCGGGGGTATCAGGAGGAAGAGGGGGGGTAACATTACATAGCTGGAAGATAAATAAATGCTTTGAAATATGCTCTGTGGTATTAATCAACCATTTATGATGAAAACAAATTTACAAAAAATTTCCCAATTAATAAACTATTTATGAAGAAATAAAATTTATAATAAAATTTCCAAAATTTTGAAATATATGGTCCCAGGGTCAGTGGTTCCTGTGGGGTGAGTTGTACCACTGGTTATAAAGTGAAAATGCATTTTTTCTTACTCTGATCTAACTCTGGATATTAAGTAACTAAAGTAAGCATTCTAAGTGTATAATTATGATAAGCAATGGTGGTTCTTTCAAAATTTTGAATTCCATGGCATCTGGTTTAAAACACGAACCACATTCAATATTTGAAAAGTTTTTTCATGATACTCATGTGACCTATAAGGCCCATGGGCCTCTTGTTTTAATCTGATAAAAATATAACTATTTGTGCTTTGTTTTTGTTGAAAACTTCCATGTTAATAAATGATTGTATTGATTGATTGTATGTTGTTTAACGTCCCTCTCGAGAATTTTTCACTCATATGGAGACGTCACCGTATGCCGGTGAAGGGCTTTCAAATTTACTCTGCACTCAGGACCATTGAGCAGTGAGGGATTTTTATCGTGCCAACGCCTGTCGCTGACACGGGGCCTCGGTTTTTAAGGTTTCATCCGAAGGACCCTGTTAATAAATGAAACATGAATTAAATGAAAGGATCACTTCATTATAAATAGGGATTTGACCAATAGGACCGGGCTTGTTTTTTTTTGCTACAAAAACCTTGTCGATTTCCGTTTTTATTAATGGCATTAGGCTGAATACATATAACAATTTGTTTTTCCTAAATCATTTTTTCAGTGAGTAGAGGTATGAAGAACCCTTTCATTGATTTCCTGAGTTTGTTATCTCAAAATGTAATAATTGATATTTGTCTTTACTTCTCAATGTGCATAATGGTAATGTTTGCTCTGAAATTTTATTCTTTATGTCTAGGCAATGTTATCCGTGAATGAAGTAAAATATTCCATTAATGTGTGCAAATTATATAGACTTAAATCAAATCCGAGGAGGACAGTTACTGATATTATGTAGCCAAAATCAATGTTATTAAATTCTAAGGAATATATATACAACTGATATTCATCACAGCTCAATGCTACTAAGAGTAACTGTATTGAGTAACTCAGAGTGAGTTATTCTTGTCCTCGGAGAAAATGTGCTTATACTGATGTTTGTTCCGCCTGACTGAGAACTGTACATTGGATTATTACGATTTGATATCTGTTTAATGTTTTTGAAAAGGCGAAAATTTAAAAATTTAAAAGTGTGGTACCAGGCGGATTTGAACCCCCTGACTTTAAAATGTTAGTTTGCACGGTATAGTAGTCAGCACATATTTCAACTGAGCTAGTCTGACTATTACATTTATAGGTATAAATTTGAAGCAGATTATCAAAAACAGGTTTCCTTATTTTTTGAAGGTTTTTTGAGAATTTCGACCCTAGGGCAGGGGTGCCTCTAAAAAAATCCCATCTTAAATTCATCCTTACATCCAAACCTATCAAAATATCACAATTTTATTTAGGGGCAGGCCTGCCCTGAAGGACTTCTAGGCCAAAATGCAAAAATCAACGCTTTATCGAACAAAATCGTGTTTAGACCATTTATTGTAAAGTTGTAATAAATAAATTTTAGGTATAAAATACAGATTTGAAAAATTTAGACATATATACGGTAGAAAACAGCAAATAAAGATTTATTTTTCAATGTCACTTTTTCCGGGAAATTGCTCTCTCCTATAGGTCAATTATTTTGTCAAAGCGAATACATCCTTAATAGTTACATTTTTGTTTATCAATGTTTGTTAGTAATTACCTGTACGAAATGTTCCGCCCGGAAAATAGGGGGAATTGAGGCGTACTTGAAGAGGGAATTCCGGGCGTCAGTTTGTCTCAGTCTCTACAGATATGGTCATACACAGGTTCCGGGCGTAAACCAAGCGGAAATGGGCAGGAATTTGAGGCGAAAAATGCAAATGAGCTAATAAATGAAAAATAAATGACGCCCAGAAAAAAATTACGCCTGGAAACTAAAATGACGCCTGGAATAGAATTACGCCTGGAATGTCCTTATTATTAGATAATACTCTGTGACCTAAAAACCTATATATTTACCATATGTTAACAAAGAAAAACTTTTAGATTATGATTTACAATGTTAAAGCTAAAAATTCAGCTTTTTGAATTAAATTGTAAGAAAACATAATGACAGGTCATTAACATAATATACAAATATAACTTATAAATTTTGTGTAAGGGAAACTAAAACACCACCATGATTGTGTATTCAGAATTAAACTTTTTACAAAACCGGTACATTTTATCACTTCAGTAATCATATTGAAACATTTTAATTATATTCAGTACAGTTCTTCATTTACTGAGTAGTTAACAGTTCAAGACTCACTGCAGCCTCTATCAGACTGTTATTTCTCAGAATGTGTGCAAGAAAACTCAAATAAGGGCCAACAAGTTATAACTATATCATTGTACATTATCCTTATCAAATTTACTCACATAGATACCAGATACTAATGTTCACACCTACCAGCAGATACTGTGTCATCCAGAAGAAGTGTAAATAAGCCTTAACAGTGATATATCTGCATTTCCTGTTTCACTCACACTAAACTCCCTCCTTCAAGATCAAATTATATTATATGTATAAAAGGTGAAGATAACGAACGATCAATGTCGAAAAAACTACAAACAATAAAATGCTCTGAACAGCGCATAACAGGGACACATGGAATTTCAGAGCTTGAATCAGGTGCCTGGGAGATGTAAGCATCCCCTGTTGACCTGTCACAACCCTGCCTTGAGCCCTATTTATTGAGTAAGTATACGGAACATTCTGTAGTCAAATTCAGCTCAAAAATTTCTACCAATTGATATAAAACAAGTTAGCCAAACACTGGTAAATTAAAGTTTATGCAAGATAATTTTGTCGTTCTATATGTCTGTATACACGCAGTCTGTTGGTCTGGCCTGATCCCATCCAAACAAGATGATTTTTCTCATCATATCCCAAACCTAATGGCTCAACCATTCCATCTTGTTTTGTCGATAGAAATGTCAGAAGGAGACCATCCTTGTCAATCATGTATATTGTTTGGTCTAATCGACCAGAGATCAGGATATTTAAGAATGCATCTACACAAATTCCACTTGGCATAAATAATCCAATGGTCAATCCTATCGGCAGTCCTGTGTAAGTGAAACGATATTTTCCTTTTCGGTCTGTGACCACAACACCACTGAGTGAATCAGACACAACAATATCTCCATTCCTGTTCTCCGTGATATAGATAGGCTCTCTATATAATGGTTTGCCTGTCTTGTGGTATTGGATGGTTTGGAATGACTTTCACATCTGATAATGGTATGGTGGGATTTTTTGTATCATATCTCATCATGACCAGCAAATCTCCAGTAGAGGCTGAGTAACAAATACACCATGGTTCCCATAGTTCTGTTCTCTTTATCAATGTCGACTTTGTAGTATTGTCTGCACTTAGTTTGTTAATGTTCCAGTCTTTGTCTACATAAATCAACTCTCCTGCATTGTTTACTGCATGTACACCATAGTATTCACTTACATCAAATAAATGATGTAGATTGTTACCTTTAGAATTCGTCAAAATGAGACTACGTCCATCACTGACCCAAATCCTATCTGGTGTCACAAAGGAAATGTGTCCACCGTGATATAAGTTAGTCACATCAACATGCTTAGTATTAAGGATAGCCCCTTTTAACAGCCTCAACATATGTTCATTTCTAACTTGTCTTTTTCCTGCCTCTGTGATTTTGATTTCAAATAGTAGCTCTAGAGTGTCTCTTTTTCTTATTTCTTTATTAAAGTTACACTTTATGTTATCAGGAAGTTCTATTGTCTTGGGTACAGGGGTTTTCTTTATAAACAAAAGAAACCTCACAGGCTTGTTTGCCAGTTGCTCGTATCTATGCACATACTCTATCATTTTTTCATGCTTCATTACAAAACTCGTATAAATATTTGTTTCATATAAATCATTTACTGCTTTACTATGTATTTCGATAATTTTTTTCAAGTTTTCAGCTTTAACCACAAGCTCTTGTTGGATGCTGGAAAGTTTTGCTTTTAAGGTTTTTACATCTTTTTTGACATCAGATTCGAGACCTGCTAGGATGGCACGGTTGCATGGGAGACTATCACCTCTTATTTGAATAATTCTTTCCTTGTGTTGCTGTCTTTTAACCGTGCAGGCTAATTTGATATCAAGAATTTCATGTCCTTGATGTTCATCAACTGGATCACAGATGGGACGTTTACAAGATTTGCACCAGTTTTTATATTTGCAGACTTGGTGTCTATCACATGACTCTGGTGTTATAAATTCTCCATGCTTTAAACGGTAAATAACAACATCATGGTCTTTGGTATCGAGATACAAAACGTGTTTCTGCTTACACTCTAAACACAGATTTTGTTTACATGGCCTGCAGTAGAATTCCACATCAGTCGGACAATGAGAACACAGAAGCACTTGAAGTTGTGTTGTGATATCCTTATTCATGGTGTTACTTTTATTTGTTTTCTTTTCTAGGTTCAAAGTGTTACTTCAGGGGACAGTCTACAATTAAAAAAATATTTTGATAAATTACTTTTTCTACAGTTAAATTTTTCTAAGGAAATATGAACTTTGATAATATTTGATTTTCCAGGAGAAATACTTTTAAAAAGGGCACGAACACAGTTTCAGCTGAAAATTATTTAAACTTATTGTTCATTTTTTCATGCTTACAAATACCCATCTAAGGTATTTTTTTTTATAAATATTAAAAATTTAAATTTCAGTTGACAAGATACAATTTAAGACATATTTAGACCTCCTATCCTTTGATATCGGTATGTAAACAAGGCCGTTGTCATGTTATTGTTTACATAGGTTAAATATCTTAATATATATATGTTAGTTCAAAGAAGTTTTGTCATAAAGAAGTTAATTCTGAATACAAATATACACTTAATATTGTTTTGCTGAATCTCATTTTGTCGTAAATATGATATTTTCTGTATGTAACCAAAACTGAGGCAAGAACCCTTGTTTATATTATGAAGAGTTTAAGTTCCGTTTCTCCTTTGTTGATCAACAAATTATGATCAGCTGACCATTTGAATAATTTTTAGGAATTGTAAATATTAAAAGTGGTTTTAAAACTAAAAACAGCAAAAACTGTGTCCATGTCTCATTAACTAACTAAAAACTAACAATTCACCAAAGTATACATTTTGTGTATTAAATGACGTAAAAAGAACAAGGATTTACATTAATTAAGCAGTAGATATATAACATGTTTTAAAACAAAACATGGAAACAAATATTGTTTATCTGTTCTTTAATAAGTAAAATATAGCTTAGTTTAGCCTAGCTTGATTCATTCTCTGTCGTGTTTAACTTTAATTGCAAAATTGTAAACATCTTCGCTAGCCAAGGGTTCTAATAGGCTACTCTCCTCATAACCCCCCTTGATTTCACTGTGGAGAGCGGAACGTCTCCATGCGAATTATCTTGGGTGCGAATCGGTGTTCGTCATACACTTATCAACCCACATTTCCTCAACCTAAAAAATATGTCACGGTTATTAATGCAATTTTAAATAATATTTTTCTCTACTTACAAATGAAATTCGCTACAGAGCTTCATCTTATCTGTCCGAAAAAGACAATGTATCCTTCATAGTCAACGGCGACCAAAAATCACAGCATGTAAGCTGGTGCAGAAAGGCTATCAGCGCAAAGGAATTGTAAACAAAGAAAGCATGGGTCAAATTGACACACAAGGTCATTAGGCACGTTTTCTGTTTTTAAAATAATTTTTATCCGCCAAAGAAAATTCTAAAAATGGCTAAGTAAAGTTTTCATGTAAAATTGATATGTTTAAAGACTTCAGGGCAATAACAGCATGTGGTTAAGTTTAATTTGGTGATGTATAAACACGATGTTTCGGGACCACGACGTTTCGAGACTTGACTAATACGATTTTTCGGGACTAGCGACGACAAGACGGTACGAGACTTGGGTAAAGACGATTTGGGACTTTTTGGGGGATTTTTCGGGATTTCAACAAACAATTTTATTAAGATGATAAAACATATTATTCAAAGTACACATAGTACGTAACATTTCAAGCTAAATCCGAATTTTAATTTTATGTATAATTAAAGTTGTCATAAAGATATACTTTATTGGGGTTTTTTTCAGAGACGTCTCTGGTTTTTTTTTAACAGAAGAATAAGGATAGATCTTTACAATATTCATTTTTATTTCTTATCAATTTTTTTATTAGTTATTTTTTCTTGTGTGTGTGTTTGGAGAGGGGGGTCCAAAATTGAATCTTCTTAGGTTGATGATATATGTTAAAATATTGAAGTGATCTACCGTCAAATATATTTTTTAAAAGCATAAAAAGGATTGTGTGGTTTCTTTTGAAATTATTTAAAGAAAATAAAAATCTGAAAATATGGCGGGGGGATATAGTTTGTTTATTGGTAAATGAAATGATTCAGAATCAAACAATATTTATATAATAGTAGGTCGAAACATCAGAGGTAGGATCAGGTGCCATGGAAGAGTGAGCATCCTCTGCTGACCAGTCACACCCGCCGTGTGATCCTTGTCATGATCAGGAAACAACGGAAAAATCCGTCGTCAATTCAGTGTAGAAATAATATACTAACAATTAGTATGAAAAACGTCAGTCAGCATTTGACTCAATGATTAATTGTATGTGATGACTTTAAACGAGACTTCTGATATTCTTGTTTCATCAACATGCTTGTCAATAATTTACCTCGTTTAAAAATTGTTCATACGTAGAGCATGCTCTTGCGTAACGAATCAACTGAGATATATAGACTCCGTATGCAGATGATGAAGGTATATTGCTGCATAAGTGAGGGAAGTTGACAATAGAAAAGTTTTAGTCAACACGTTTATAATATAGCTTGGTTGTTAGATTACCATTAACGTCTTTTTCAAGTAAAATATCCAAGTATATGTTTTATCAAATTTAGTAGTTATATTTAATTAAATAAACAATAGAATTAATATTTCTGATATTATGTTAATTATTTTCACAAGACTCTTGTATACTAACGGAATAACATGTTAATCTATTTTATGTTGCATTATGTATCAAGAAAGATAACTCTCAGTAACGAACTCTTCTGTGTTTGGAGGTTGCTTTAGTTAGTGTGATCCATGTGACTGGAGAGAAATAAAGTCAGTGATCTGTGGTAACAGTGTGATTATTAATTCAAGCAATAATAGTGATTAACATAACACACTTAGGCCATATAAAATTAATCTTTAGATTCTCATCCCCGCCCGCCCCTCTCAAAATGTCCCGCCCCGATTTTTTTTTTATTTTGATTTTTGGGTATTTTCATGTATTTTTATTCAGTAAGAATTTGGGTCAAAGTTTAAGAGTTATCTCCCGCCTGTATAAAAGTCAAAAACGCCATGTGAAGAATGGAGAAAAATCGGCAATAAAAGCAGTTTAAATGTGTAAAGAAAAGATAATTTGTCAGTATAGAGAAGGGAGAGAAGAAAAAATAGCATAAACATATATAGATACCATCACTGGCAGGAGCAAGTATGTAGAGAGATTGTAACTTAGTAAAAATAGACGAGGAAAAATGACACCTGGTCAAGTTATATAAAATGATCTCCAGCTGTGTGACTTTGCTTTGAAATAAAAAAAAATATCTACAACACCGTAGACAGACTTAAGATTAGGCCTAGATTTTTCAGTAGAATAATTATTAGAACATTTATAAATATTTTGCAAAATAAGAAGTCAGGCATACACAATTTATTGGTATCCCCACCTCATTTTGTTCAGGGTGTGCCATATAAAGTGTAATTGATAATTTGTTAATTAACAATAAATATTTTATTTTTAAAGCAATTTTTTTTTAAATATTTAAAAGAATATGAAAAGAATTAAATCTATTCATATTTGCATTAAGGTAATGAAAAAAAAATTTACGCGATTGTCCATTGTTTTGTTGATACTTACGGTAGGCCTATATATAAATTAACAATTATGAAACATAAAAAATAAAATCCGCCCACCCGCCCCAATTTTTTAGCAAAATAGGATGAGAATCTAAAGATTTATTTCCCCTGGCCTTATCAATAAGCATATTTTCCAGTGCAACCCCACACTCATCAAACAAGAGCATACTAGTAATTATATTCTATGCTGTTTACATACATGGATTAACAAGCATGAATTTACTAATTATAGTTTTAATTTATCATTGATAGTTCTTTTAAATTCTTGCAAATTCTAAATACGCGTCTGCTTGTTTTGTAATGTGGACAAAATTTTAATATTTTTTGTGCAAATGCTGACGCATTTATGTTGTACAAATTAATTGGTTCTTTTACTTGATCCATAGATGAACATTCTTTTTTTTTAAATACATCTATTATTTTGCACTTCTAGCAGTACATATCATCTCTTTGTTTTAAACAGACATAATCAGTCATTGGTTTAAATTATATTCATTTAAAAAAGTTGTTTCCAGGAATAATTTCCTCAACTTTTTCATCCATATTTTTTTTCTTTTCTCTTTACTGAATAGAATGGAGAACATTTTAAAAACAAAATATTTCATATTACGTATGTTCAGTTATGCCTACAACTAACTTTTCAAATTAAAAAATTTAAAATTTAAAGTTCACAATAGAAAATTCTTCTACATTTCATCTTTGTTACCTTTGTTAATTTATTTGAGGAATTTTCATTAATAATTTTTCAGGATTTTTTAAAATTGAGATTTCAAAATGCCTCAAAATTACATTAAATGCTGTCTTATTTGTATAAATAATTAACTTCGAATTTACCCACATTTTTATCCAACTGATTCTAAACAATTTTTTGTTGTTGACAAATTAATAGCCCTAAGACTAAATAATTTCTTTATTTTCTAATTTTGTTATCTTTACTATAAAGCAATAAAAGCTGCGACTTTCAAGTCAATTAACTCAATGTCAGAAAAAAGTTTAATTAACTTCAATTGTTCAAATTTGTAATGGAAGAACTATATATACGAGAGATGTCCGTAAAGTTCGTGGACAAGCTGAGAATTCAAGAAAAGTTTCTAAACGTGAACTGAAAAATGTTAAATTTTATTCAATTTCAAATGTTTAATTACAATTATGGCTTCATAATTAGACTAGGAATGGAGACCCGGGGTACCGCATAATCTTCTTTAAAACATTATTTATCACTTTATATATTCCATTGGTATTTTATAAAATTCTGATGTTATCTGGACTTTTATACGGAAGCCCGTTGGTGCTATGTAGGAAAAATATTTCATCTGGCGGTCGCCACTTATTACTTGGCGGCAGCCACTTATATATCTTGCGACCGCCACTTAATATCTGGCGACCGCCACATAAATTATGGGGTTTACCTACAAAGAAATTTTGTGTTTTCTGGCAGTAAATCATTGAATTGTTATTAGTTTAAGAACTCTAAAACTAATATTACGTCGACAAATTTTTTTTCGTCGCAAAACTTACACTGATTTCATTGATGTCGCCAGTTTTATTTTGTAGTTTGCTGGTTTTGCAATGAAACTACAGCCGTAGTCCAAGCGTGCTTGGGTGTATCCACCTCTTCCTGAAATCTCACGTTAAAAAATGCGCGCGCATCAGAAGCCAGGTGTTATCTGGCGACCACCAGATTAATTATGTGGCGGCCGTCAGATAATATATTTTTTCTACGTGGCACCAACGGGCTTCCGTACTTTTACATTATGAGGTTAACAGAGGTTATTACGTCAAACCTGCAAAATTTGCAGTGATAAAATTCTGCATAGACATCGGATAAACACCTACAGAGACCACTGCATTCTGTAAACAATCGTGAAAGCATAGTAAAAGAATCCATACATTAGTTTTCAAGGGACATATAATATTTTCGGACGATAGGAACAGTTCACAGGATAATATTCGTGAAGGAATCGAAAGATAATGAAGGATCATTCCGAGATTACTATGTAGAGAAAAGTTACATTCTGTGCACATATTTATGAATGGTTAAAGTGACATAAAAATGTATTGAGTTAAACGGTGACTATGTTGAGAAATGTTACATGCATATACTGGTATTATGCTTTTGACGTCGGATAACGTCAAGAATTTTCATTTTAGTGCTCCGAGTATGAGTGTGTGTCTTTATAGGTCACCTGAGTAAAGAAGTTATTGCTATCCGTTTTCATCAGGCGTTAGTACGTCATCCGTCGTTCGTAAACTTTTGAACATTTTTAACTTCTTCGCTGGAATCACTGGGTAAAAGGGAACAATTTTTTTTAATTTCATAGTGCCTGCCCACTGGGGCCTTAGGGGTGGGGCCAAAACCACTAAAACTAATGCAAATTTTAAAGATCTTCTTCTTTACACCTGGACATCAAGCAGTCAAACTGTTGACAAGATTGTAATCAGTTTTGAGTCCTCTACCAAAATTATAAAATTCATGGCCCCTGGATCAGGGGTTCGGGTGTTAGGGCGGGGCTATATATAGATCATATAGTAAAAGTGCATTATTTCTTCTTCTCTGTTCCTGGGTCTTAAATAAACTAACTAAGAACATAGTTTTGATGACCAAGAATGCCTCTTAAAAATTGTGAATTTCATGGCCCCATGGTTAGAGGTTCTGGTGTTAGGGCGGGGCTATATAGATCATATACTCAGTAGTAAAAGTGTTTTATTTCTTTGAAAATCTTCTCTGCGCCTGGGTC